TTTTATATAAATTATGTAAGGTAAAGCCTGAATAATACAATCTAACAAACAATTACCCTTATTATACCAAGTTACATAAAAATTAGGATTTAAGGTAAGGGCATTATCATAGCATTAAATTGCCTCTTAATACATTTTCAGACAATTTAATATTAAACCTAAATTATATAATATCACTTTACCTTTATTATTCCAGACACAATCACATTTTGGATTAATGGAAATAGAATGGTCATAACACTCAATTGTTTCCTAAAATTTATTTAATTTATTTAAAGCAAAACCTAGATTATAAGGTTTAACTGATTATTACCCTTATTTGACCAAGCACTATCGTAATTAGGATTAATTGAAAGAGCTTTGTCATAGCACTAAATTGCCTCTTAATATTGATTTAGAAAATTTAATGCATAGCCTAGATAATGGTGTTTATTTGTTAATTACCTTTATTATTCCAAACAGTATCTTATTTTGGATTTATGGAAATAGCTTGGTTATAGCACTCAATAGCTTCTTAATATTTATTTAATTTATGTAAGACAAAGCCTCAATAACATAATTTAAAAATAAATACCCTTATTTAGCAAAGCACTTGAATTTTTCGGTTGTATGGATATAACTTTCTCGTAGCATGCGTTGGCTTCTAAAAATCGATTTAATTTATGTAAGGTAAAGCCTAAAGAATATTGCTTAACTTTTATTTACCCTTATATGACCAAGCCGTAACAAATTTTTGATTAATGGAAATAGCTTAGTCATAACACTAAATGGCTTCTAAATATTTATTTAGGAAATATAATGCATAACCTAAATAATAGTGTATATTTGTAAATTACCCTTATTATTCCAAGCAAGATAATATTTTGGATTTATGGAAATAGCTTAGTCGTAGCACTCAATAGCTTCTTAATATTTGTTCGATTTATGTAAGGTAAAGCCTAAAGAATATTGGTTAACTATTATTTACCCTTATTTGACCAAGCACTAAAATATTTTTGATTAATGGAAATAGCTTAGTCATAACACTAAATGGCTTCTAAATATTTATTTAGGCAATGTAATATATAACCTAAATAATAGTGTATATTTGTAAATTACCCTTATTATTCCAAGCAAGATAATAATTTGGATTTATGGAAATAGCTTAGTCGTAGCAATCAATAGCTTCTTAATATTTGTTCGATTTATATAAGGTAAAGCCTAAAGAATATTGGTTAACTATTATTTACCCTTATTTGACCAAGCAGTAGAATATTTTTGATTAATGGAAATAGCTTAGTCATAACACTAAATTGCTTCTAAATATTTATTTAGGCACCGTAATGCATTACCTAAATAATAGTGTATATTTGTAAATTACCCTTATTATTCCAAGCAAGATAATATTTTGGATTTATGGAAATAGCTTTGTCATAGCACTCAATAGCTTCTTAATATTTATTTAATTAATATAAGGCAATACCTAAATAATATGGTTTATCTTTATTTACCCTTATTTGACCAAGCAATAAAAAATTTTTGATTAATGGAAATAGCTTTGTCATAAAATTAAATTGCCTCTAAATATTTATTTAGGCTTTTTAATACATAACCTAAATAATAGTGTTTATTTGCTAATTACCCTTATTATTCCAAACAGTATCTTATTTTGGATTTATGGAAATAGCTTGGTCATAGCAATCAATAGCTTCTTAATATTTATTTAGTTTATGTAAGGCAAAACCTAAATGATATGGTTTAACTGTTATTTACCCTTATTTAAACACGCAGTAAAACACTTTGGATTAATGGAAAGTGATTTGTCATAACACTTAATTGCTTCTTCATATTTATTTAGAGCACTTAATGCCTAACCTAAATAATAGTATGTAACTAATATATACCCTTATTAATGAAAGCAACAACATTTCTTGGTTTTTAGAAAATAGCTTTGTTATAGCACTCAATTGCTTCTTAATATTTATTTAGAAAAATTAATGCATACCCTAATTATTTATGTTTAACTGTTAATTACCCTTATGACTCCAAAAAGAAGGTTATTTTGGATTAATACCAATAGCCTTATCATAGCACTCAATTGCTTCATAATATTTCTTTGATCTACTTAAGGCAATTCCTAAAATAAATTAAATTGATGCATACCATCATCAAAAAATCTATCAGCCTCTTAAATATTTAATTGCTTTTTATCTTCAATTTAAGATTCTTTTTATCCTATTTTATGATCATTTTTATTGCTAGAATTGAAGTCATCGTCAGCTTTATTTTAACCTGATGCCATATTCTATATTGAATTAAGATATTATTCAATTATATTATTTTAATTTGTTTTGAGTAAATTATTTTATTATATGATAAATCAATTAGTTAAAGATACATTTGGATAATTCTTTTCCTTAGAATAAAACTACTTGACTTTTTTAATATATGATGTAAAGGTCGAGTATTCTTTATTAAGAAGTTGCTGTGTCATATTTTCCTATATTCCAATTTCCTGATCCATTTTTTTAAAATCTATTCCAAAATGTTTTCTATTTTTTTTGAGATTTATTTCAATTCTTGGTCAAGTTGATTGTAAACTTGCTTGAATTCATTCAGAATTAGATCCTTTTAGTGAATTGAATACAATCATTAAATGTTCATAATGAGTAGTATTTAAACATTCCAAACAATATTTTGTTTCGTTCTAACAATTTTGATTCATACAAAACCCAATATTGCTACATTTGAATGATTCAGGTTTTTACATTTGATGTTTTCCATTACAATGAAAAAGAAATATATAATTATTTAATTATCTTTCATACTCAAAATATCTAAAATTATGATGAAATGCTAATTAAAATATAAGTCGGCTGATTTATCACACTTAGTATAATTGTTAACAAACAATTAAAT